CCGCCAGCCTGTTCGCCCCTAACTGGCCCACCGTGCCGGCCTGCTCTCCCCCGACTTCTCCCACTGCCAGCCTGATCACCCCCAACTGCTCTCTCCTCCTGGCCTGATCACCCCTAGCCAAGCCTTCCCGCCCGCTCTCCCACTCTCCGGCCAGTGCCACCATCTTTGTTGCATCAATTTGCATATTTCCTCCTTATTGGCTATGGGTGCCGCCAACTTTTTTGAGAAGTGGTGGTTGATTTGCATATTATTCTTTTATTAGATAGGATGGCTGTTTTGTAAACAGTGTGAAAGAAAGGAATTCTAAGCTGGGAGCCTCTGACCTCAGGCTCCTGGCTCTCATAGCAGAAGACGCCTGGCCTGAGGGTCCTCGCAGAGCCCTAACTCCCGCACCTCTCTTTCTTCTCAATAATGCCCTACACCAGGCCCTCTTTAGGGTAAATTTTATAAAATATTTTTAAAAACGAAAGAACAGTAAAATGAAAGAGCAAAGAAAAAACTTTTAAAAAGCCATTTGTACGAGAAGAATTTTTATTCTGACCACTCAATAATATGGTTTTGTATGATAATTTTACAGCAGAAAAAAAAACACAACTGTTTGAAACTGTTAAATTCCTATGCAAATTACAGCATATCCACACAGTAAAATAGGACTTCACAGTCCTGAGCTGTGCTTTTCAGGGTTCTGAAAGGCACAGAAAGGCTTTCATGTTCCTGCACGAAAGGAGCTCTAGTGAAGGTTCCCCCTGGAACTTACCGTGTACAGATGCTTTCCCAGGTTCCATTTGCTAACATCTGGCTGCCTCCCTTCCTCTCCCTCCTTGTTCTCCAAGCTCGGGGTTAATCAAACTTCGGTATCTTGAGCACAGTAATTCCTCTGGTATTCGGGAAGCTTGCCAGACAGCAAACTCTACAGACACCATGGGAAGAGCAGGGTCCACAAAGGCAGCATCTCGCAGAGAAACCGCAGCCCCCTCCGCGGGCAGGCATGACGTCGTCTCCCTCGGGGAAGCAACAGATCCACCAAGGCTGAGACGCAATTTGCTCAGGAACAAACCATAAATGTGGACAAGCAACCATCTGCTGTCTGCTTACCACCGAGTGCCACTAAAAACAATTCACCTACAGAAAGTACTGTGCCTTTAGGTGAGCAAACACATTCTAGAGAAGGGCAGTTGCAGACGCTGTTTTAATGGAAGTTTGTGAGAGAATTGTAAATGGCAGCTCAGCGAAGGCTGGGTGGGTGCCGCCAGGCCCGAGGGCGACCTTTGCTGCCGTGTATATTTGGAGATATTTTCCCTTTGAATCATCTCCCAAACATGAGTCCTCACACAGAAGACAGCAATGAGCTAATGCTTAGGCTGTAAGCACGTGCCAACACGTGAGAAAGAACCCACACACGTGCTCAGCATGAAGAGAGTCGCCCTTGTGGTTCTATCTGTATATTCTCTCTATGTGCAGACTGTTGGCAACATGGTCTTTGTGTAAGAGCTGTTGATGTGAGTGAAAAAAAACTTTGCCCTTTTAGAGTCACTTCTATAACTAAATATAATTAATATTCACAGCGTGTCATTTAAATTTTCTATTCATTTTTCTGAGCAAAAAAAAAAAGGCCTGCCTTTTTCTCCACAGAAATATATTAGTGATTTTTAAAAATGCCTTATAGCTTAAATTTAGATTAATCCATACTGTAACTGGTAATGCTAAATATGCTATTACTTACTATACCCTCGAAATCCTTACCACTTTTGACCAAGACATAGGTTTCTTAGTAACTCACGTGAAAACCAATTAGCACACCACTGACCATGTGATTGATTCGCAGTGAATACACACATTAACCAGAGTGTTTTAAAATGGCAACTTCATAGACACCTAACTAAATAGAAGTTCTGGATAAAGGAATGGTGGCTGATAAACTCACCACCAAAAGGTCAGTTTGCTTTGAATGTTTAATAACATCCTCCAATGATAACAGTCCCTAATTAGACTGCCCTCCATTGCCAAAGCGTGTCGCATGCTTGCGACGTGCGCTAACGCGTTAGTCACTGAACTCCCCATGTGAGATGCGTCACAGAGGGGGACGCTGCCGCTGAGCGGTATCCTGCGACCCCCCGTCTCCAGGCGGGCCCACCGCAGCCCACACCCAGCCCCGCGCTATGCTGACTCCACCACCTACAGTCTGAGGAAAACTGGTCCTGAAACTGACACCCAATCAGAACAGCTTCAAAATCTAGTGTGAAGTCCGGCCCGTGTGGCTCAGTGATTGAGCGTCTACCTATGAACCAGAAGGTCATGGTTCGACTCCCAGGCAACGCACATGTCCGGGCTGCAGGCTCAATCCCTGGGTCCCCAGTGTGGGGCGCGCAGGAGGCAGCCGTTCAATGATTCTCATCGTTGATGTTTCTATCTATTTCTCCCTCTCCCTTCCTCTCTGAAATCAATGGAAATACATTTTTTAAGTCTAGTCTTAAACATGTAAGGATTAGTAAGTTTTCTCAGGAAGAGCTAGTTGGCCTCACTCCTGACCCATCCAAAGACAGTGACCACAACGACCTCACAGTGCCCGCCACAGGCCGCGACCATCAGTCCTGCAGACACAGGCTTGGTCCTGCGTGTGCCAGTCCACACGTGGACTGGGGAACGGCGCTGAGGCCCCGGGTCAGCGGGTCAGCGGGGCGGGGACGGCGGGGAAGTGTCGTTCCCAGGCGGCCCAGAGCTGTGCCTGCGTCCTGGCGGGAGGCGGGAGGCAAGCATGTCACCTGGGGGACGATCCTTCAGCCAGAGGCCCCCGTTCAGGGGATTGACACTGACCCAGGATGTGGGCGCTCTGCAGCACACGAGGCTGGTCCCTTCCACAGTCCCTGTCACTGCCACAGAGGGCTCTGGCCTGGGAGAGAGAGACCTCAGGGACCGTGCAGCGGGACGAGGGGGCTGCCGACCAGCCATGGTGTCAGGCACCGTCAGGAATGGTCACTTGTGATAAGGGTCAGCTGGCCACGCAGCACAATGTCCTTATTCTAAGAGATGCACAGGGGAGTATTTAGAGGTAAATTGTCTGTATTTTACTTTAAAATACTTCAATATAAACACAGAGTTTTTCAAAAGAGGCGGGTGATTTACAAAAACAACTGCCAAAGACAAACGAGTGGAGACAGTTCACATTCCAAAGACGACCACTGTCGGGGACGGTCCCTGACGGCCGTGCGGACAGAGAAGCCCCCACAGGGCTCAGTGACAGCCCCAAGGTCAGGGAAAATATCAAATATTAAAAGCCGCCTAACAGCATGTCAGAGACACCTCAGGCTCGCTGTGCCTACATCCAGAACCACTGGAGGGGGGCTGGCGGACCTGGGGTGCAGCACCGCGTCCCGGACAGTCACCACCGCGCCGTGCGGCAGGGAGCGCGGACTGCCACGCTCTCCATGGCCCACCTGCACTGCCCGCCCATGGGAGCCAAGCAACACTGTTTGTTCTACACACCCCAACAGATAAGGACGCAGAGGTCAAAAGTGCAGATGTCGGGGAGAAGCTGGACGCTGCGGGGTCATCATGTGACTGACAGGCCTCTGTGACTGACAGGTCTCTGTGAGTGACAGGTCTCTGTGAGTGACAGGTCTCTGTGACTGACAGGTCTGTGTGACGGACAGGTCTCTGTGACTGCCAGGAGCAACGCAAAGCTACTATGAGAAGCAGTGCAAGGCTCAGCTTCCCTGGGTATAAAACCCTCGGAGCTCCCCGCCGATAGGACAGAGGGGACGAGGAGCACACGTCCTCCCTGGGGAGCCGCAGGCTTCAGGAAGCGCAAAGCTGGCATTTCGCACTCGCTCAAGGACGCGCAGTTTGAACACACAGCACCTGACGACGGGCAGGAAATACCGGGTTCAAACGTTAAAGCAAAACGGAACAAGGACGAGGAGAACCAACCTGAGGCCCAGCTGCCTGCAGATGACTTCCGCGTCGGCGTCGTCCCACTGGTCGTCGCAGACGGTCCCCCACTGGCCAGCGTGGTAGAGCTCCACGCGGCCCTCGTGCACGCTGCTCCCACCTGCGAGGCGCAGGACGGGGGAGGCGGGGCCTGCGCCTGGGAAATCAGAGACAGTGACACCACCTCCTGATACCTCCCCAGTTCTTCCCCAGTCCCCACAGTGAAGTGGTGTTGACTCAGGCACTTCCATGATGCGGCACACACTCATCCACTTCACGCTCAGCTCAGCCCGTGGGCACACTCCACACTGGATTTGTTCACACAAGCCGCTCCCAAGAGGAAGCCGTCTGTCCCCACGCATCTTTCCCAGCGGCCTGGCCTCAGGAACCAGGGGGACCCGCCCCGCCCCTGCGGGGAGCACGCTGGGTGTCCATACAGTGCCATGGGGACAGACTGTTCCTCCCGACGCCCGGGCATTCCCGACCTGTAACCACCACGAAGGGCACTCAGTCTGCAGCAACCGGTTTGAGCGCAGACAGACATGGACATCCGCAGAAACCAAGGCCAAGCGGGCGCCTGACACTTCATAACACGGTGGTGGGTGTCTCGGGCAGGAGCCGGTTCAGAGTCCCATCCTGTGTCTGGAACCACGGTCCTCCCCCCGATTCCTCGTTAGCCCGTGCCCCGAGCTGGCCCCATCGCTCTCAAGTTCCCTCCGCTCCGGCCTCGGTCAGGATGGCCATTCTGCCCTCCTCCCATCCCCGGACTCCTGACGCTGGACCGGCCTCGGGCCTGCATGCCGGCGGCTCCTTCTGTGGGAGTGATGGCCCCACAGGCCATCACAGGTGCCCCTTCTCCGCAGTCCTCCACTCCGGACGTCCTCCTGGGAGCTTCCGAGGACCCGCCCACTGCCTGCCCCCGTCTCCCTCGGGGCCACCTTCCCCTAAGTGCGTGACGGGATGGTCACACGCCACGTGGAGTGCAGCGCAGAGCGCCTCTCCGTCCCTGCGCCCGGGCACCCAGCACCCAGGGGCCGGAACACAGGTGCGCACGGCTGGATCCATACGTGACAGCACACGTCTAGGAAGGACACGAGCTGGCGTTCCCTCAGCTCTGCTTCACAGGCAGACGGGAGGCGCCTGCTTGTGCCAGGGGGTGCCCAGGTGCTGCAGGGCACCCGGGGGTCCTGGGCAGCCCTCACCCCCAGGCGCTTCCTGCCAGAGTTGTCAGGAAGGCCGTACATGGTGGAGCCCGGAGCTTGCTCACTGGGGCAGCAGGCATCTGTTCCGGAGATGCTGCAGGGCACCCGGGGGTCCTGGGCAGCCCTCACCTCCAGTCGCTTCCTGCCAGAGTCGTTAGGAAGGCCATACATGGTGGAGCCAGGAGCTCGGGCATCTGTTCCAGAGAAGCCTGGCTGAGGGCGCGAGGGGGGGCGGGGGCGGGGAGGGCGCGTGAGACACAGCAGGCGGCCTGCCGTTTCTGGAATGAAGGCTGTGATGTGGTAAAAGGGTCAGAACAGCTGGGTCCCTATTAGGAGGCTTAGTGGCACCTCCTGCTAAATGCTAACCCTTGAGCCACAGGAGACACACTGGCCGGCCCGGAGGCTCTCAGCCCGGCACCTGGACATGTACGTTTGCAGCACCAGTCGAGCTCGGGGCAGGCTCGGCCCATGCGCTCGGCACACACTCCTGTCCACTGCGTGCGCGTATGCAGGTCGCGGGCTCTTATTTGCAAAAGAATAAAGACAGGCTGAGCGAGCACGGCTGTTCCCAGCATCGTGTATTGCTCCCATAATTAACTGATGGCCCAATTATGATTTTTGCATAAGTCATGTGTATTTTTCCTTTAAAAAGCGTGGAAAATACAGAAAGATAATTTTAAAATGTGTAAGTTTCTTAAGTTATTGCATTCTCCCCTGCCTCCCCGCCCCTTTGCGCTGTGGTAAGCTTAGAGAACAGAGAAAAACAAAATATTCTCGGAGGAAATTTAAAATCGCCTACAGCCCAGGACCACTATTGCACACCACCTTGCATCATTAATGCCATGTTTTATTTGAAAGCATGTGGCTTTTCTGGTTGTGTGAGTAATAAGAATAAAGACAGGCTGAGCGAGCACGGCTGTTCCCAGCATCGTGTATTGCTCCCATAATTAACTGATGGCCCAATTATGGTAGGAAACAAATCTGCATAAGTCATGTGTATTTTTCCTTTAAAAAGCGTGGAAAATACAGAAAGATAATTTTAAAATGTGTAAGTTTCTTAAGTTATTGCATTCTCCCCTGCCTCCCCGCCCCTTTGCGCTGTGGTAAGCTTAGAGAACAGAGAAAAACAAAATATTCTCGGAGGAAATTTAAAATCGCCTACAGCCCAGGACCATTACGGCATACTGCCTTGCATCGTTAATGCCGTGTTTTATTTGAAAGCATGTGGCTTTTCTGGTTGTATGAGTAACTGTAAAACAGAGAAGAGCTGGAGGACAAAAGGAAGTCAACATCCCACATCCTCCCCACAAACACACAACATCACTGGAGAGAGAACTTCTGGGAGGCAGCTGGCTCCTGCTGGACTTGCGGACGAGTAAACCCCCAGAGGCTTTCACGGAGGCGGCTGCTCCCGGGCCAGTGCCCGCACAGTGGCCTCCACACGCGTTGGGATGGCGGCAGGTCCCAGAGGACGAGGCACAAATGTCACCTCCCAACTGAAAACACGCCCGGAAAGTCTGCGGAGGGCCCGGAGGTGAAGTCAGTGTTCACTGGTTCGAGCTATTTGCTTCCATACTCCCGTGTAATTTACCATAAGAGCATCTTTTTCTCATTCTCACTTCACATTTGTCGCAACTTCCTATGTTTCATATATGGTGATAAGTGACCTCAACTCTATCTTTGCAACCAGGGTTTAAATAAGTGGATTGCTTATAGAGAGCAGAGTGCACTTTTTTAAGAAGTAGAGAAATATCCTGAAAGAGAGAGACTGTTGTTTCTAAGACTTTACTTATCTCTCTACTTGAAAATGTAACATTGTATCCGTCCGGGTGAGCACAGAACACAAGCAATAATGGAGGAAAGCGTAGTGCTCCATGGAGCCCCATCCGCCCGTGCGTGCTCGAGGCAGCCGTGCAAACACAGGCTCGGCCAAGGGCAGCCTCCCCACAGGTGGGGGATGGGAAGGGAAGGGAAATACCAGACAGCCGCTGGGCAGACCAGACCGTGCACCGCCCGCGAAAGGGCTGCAGGGCGGAGAGCGTGCCCGCCTGGCCCCCGCCCCAGCCTCGGGCTTCCGGCCCCTAACCTGGGCCTCTGTTCTGGGATGGGAATCACGGAACGAATTAAACTCATAAGTCAAGGCCCCACGGTACCTGGTGCTTAATGAAGGCCGTACCCACGGGAGCAAGTCATCCTGCAAAGCCCACAGGGGACACGGGTGCATGAGCCCCTCTCGCCCACCGTGAGCACAGCTGTGGCTGCTGCAGGTTCCCTCTGGTCTCCAGCTGACTTTCTACCACGCATCCATCATGATTTCCCACCAACAAAGCAAGTGTGTCCTGCACAGCACATACTGTTTCTGTCAGCGAATCAGGGAAAATAGAAAACGCGCTGAGTGTGCGGCCGAATGGTGTGCACAGGAGACACACTCCCAGGGAAGACTAACCAGGACCGAACAGGGTGATGCCTGGACTCACTCTCGCGGGAAGTGGTGTAACAGAGACAGCCATCCCCTGGAACCAGGCTGACAACACCATGGAAGGAAACACGGATGAACCCCT